CTGAGCCCGACTAGACTCCATCTCTTAAAAAATGTTTTTAAGGCCAGGCTTGGTGGCTCAGCCTGTAATCCCACGCATTGGGAGGCCGAGGTGAGTGGATTGCCTGAGCCCGTGGGCTCGAGACCCGCCTGGGCAACTTGGCGAGACCTCATCTCTACAATAAATCAAAAAATGAGCCGGGCATGGTAGTGCGCGCCTGTAGTTCCAGCTACTTGGAAGGCTGAGGCGGAAGGATCGCGGGAGCCCAGCAAGTCGAGGCTGCGGTAGCCGGGAGCAGCCACTGCACTCCAGTCTGGGCGACAGAGTGAGATTCCAACTCAAAAAATAATAAATAAATAAATAAATAAATAAATAAATAAATAATGTTTTTAAAAGTTGGCTGGGTATGGTGACTCAAGCCTGTAATTCCAGCACTTTGGGAGGGTAAGGTGAGAGGACTGCCTGAGCTCATGCGTTTGAGACCATCCTGGGGAACTTGGTGAGATCTCGTCTCTACAATAAATCAAAAAATAAGCCGGGTATGGTAGCATGTGCCTGTAATTCCAGCTATTTGGAAAGCTGAGGCAGAAGGATTGCCTGAACCCAGCAGGTCGAGGCTGCGGTGGCCATGAGCATGCCACTGCACTCCAGCCTGGGCAAAACAGTGAGACTCCGACTAAAAAAAAAGTAGCCAGGTATGGTGGTGCAGCCTATAGTCCTAGCTAATCAGGAAGATGAGGTGGGAAGATCCTGAGTCCAGGAGTTTGAGGCAGCAGTGAGCTATGATCCTGTCACTGCACTCCAGCTTGGGTGACAGAGTGAGACACTGGTTCTTCTTTTTTTTCCATTTTAATAGAAACAAGGTCTCGCTGTGTCACCTAAGCTGGTCTCGAACTCCTGGGCTCAAGCAATCCTCCTGCCTCTGCCTCCCAAAGTACTGGGATTACAGGCGTGAGCTACTGCACTCAGCCAGGGATGAGGTTTCCTAAAAAAGAAAAGAAAAGAAATGAAGAAAAAAGAATGGAACTGCTCAAATGAGAGATATAAAATATAATAATAATAGCTACTATTTATTGAATGTTTACAATAAGCCAGGCACTATGCTGTGCTTTTAAACTGTCTCATTTTATTTTTGCAAACTCCCTGTTAGAAAGTACTATTATTATCTTTATTTTACAAAAAAAAGGAAGCTGAGGCTCAGAGAGGAGAAGTGAATTGCCCAAAGCTGCACAGCTGGGTAGTGGCAGAGTACAGGGGTCAGCCCCATTCTACGTTCTAGGCCTCAAATCCTCATCCCTAAAACCCCTAGGTCTCCTTTGGGTATTACCATACTGTTTATCCATTTCCTGTTCGTCTTTTTTTTTGTAATTTACCTCAAAACTCCAGCTAGAACTGGGTTTAATACCACAGTGCCCTAAATGACCTGTATGTCATTGGACTTTCTATGCTGAAATTAGTGTCCCTACAGGAAATGAGAGGCCAAGCAATTTTACAACCTCCTCCAATCATAGCACTGAGAGCTACTCACTCTGCCCAATCTTGTGAATCACCAGTTCCATCAGGAGACATATCCTAAACCCCGGGGTATATGCAACTCTGATGACTGTCAGAGTGCTATGCAGGGCCTAGGTTTTATTCATTTTCTTTTCCTATTACGCACATTCTTTCAGGATGATCTCATTCATTTTGATGTATTTTAGCTACTCTCTACATTTTAGCTAGCACGACTGAAATCTCTATCTCCAGCCCATCTCTCTCCCCTGAACATTTGCGTGTCCCGTAGACACCTGATGCTCACTGCGTCTACATATGAACTCATCTTTCAGTTTCACCAGCACTGCTGTGTGTTTTGCAACTCAGAAAAAAAGTACTACCATGGCCACTCAAGGTAGAAAGCTAGACATTTGTGACTCCTTCATCTCCCTATGTCTTTACCTCTGATTAGTCATTAAACCACTCTTTTATATTTTTATTTATTTATTTGAGTCGTAGTCTCACTCTGCTGCCCAGGCTGGGTTCAAAGGATTCTTCCACCTCAGCCTTCCAGGTAGCTGGAACCACAGGCACGCACCACCATGCCTGGCTAATTTTTTATTTATTTATTGTAGAGACGAGATCTCCCCTTGCTGCCCAGGCTGGTCTCAAACCCGTGGGCTCAAGCAATTCTCTCGCTTCTGCCTCCCTACATGCTGGGATTAGAGGCGTGAGGCACTGCACCCAGCTTAGACTTTCAAAAATGCCAAATTAATGCAGAACTTGAATGTGTGTAAAATAAATCAAGTTGAAAGAAGAATGTAAGGTAGTGTAGGGAGCAGGGAACCAGAGCGAGAAGTGAAAGTATGATGTCCTAATGAACGGAACACACCCTGAAGTCAGTTGATTACATTTGTACACCAGACTATACTTGCTGCCTAAGTTTCCTACCTGAAAAATTACAGTAATAATGGTCTTTGGCTCGTGGGCTTGCTGTTATGATTTTTATATTTTGTTCATTATCTATTTTTGAATTAAGCATGCAAAATATTATTTAATTACTGAGTTTTATGGTGTCCCTTAAGTTTTGGACTCCAAGTGAGTGTCCTATTTGCCCCACTCTATTCCCTGCTCTGTCTCCATCTTATATGTCTGCTTGACACATTAGCAGAATTCAATAAATATTCGTTGGATTTAAAATCTGCTTTTAAGTTGAGGTATAATATACACAGCAAAGTGAACAAATATTTAAGTGTATTGTGTTTTTGTTTTTGTTTTTCGTTTTTTTTTTTTTTGAGTTGGAGTCTCATTCTGTCGCCCAGACTGGAGTGCAGTGGCCGTTCCCAGCCACTGCAGTCTCAACCCGCTGGGCTCCGGCGATCCTTCCGCCTCAGCCTTCCAAGTAGCTGGAGCTACAGGCACGCGCTACCACGCCCAGCTAATTTTTTATTTATTGTAGAGATGAGGTCTCGCCAAGTTGCCCAGGCGGGTCTCGAACCCGCGGGCTCAGGCAATCCACTCACCTCGGCCTCCCAAAGCGCGGGATTACAAACTGAGCCACCGAGCCCGGCTAAGTGTATTGTTGAGACCGCTAATTGTTCAGAACATTCCGCTAAGCAGTACATGGCGTCTTCCCTTTCCACCTTATAACAAAAAAAGGGGTTTTGGGGGGCTGGTTTGGTTTTGAAACACTCATCTCTTCTCTTTTCCCGGCAGCGCCCTTCCCCAGGCTCACTTTGCTCCAGACAGCACTGCTTTGAGTTCCTAGTTTAGGCATAATTTCTTTCTTCAGTCCTGTTCCAAGATATTTCCTACACAAAAATATCTCCCGATTGTCAAACTTGAAAAAAATAGTTTCCTAGAGGACGGCCTAAGACGTTAAGGCTCCCGGTAGCTCCCTAAGGAACGCTCTAACGTAAGGGGCCATCTTTCCTACAGCGGCACTTCATCTTGCGCATGCGCTTCCGACTGCCCGTTGGCAAAGAGGCAATGTTTAGCCCTCTCGGCACCCGTACGTCGCGGGGCGGTGGGGTCGGAGTTTGTGCGATGTGGACTTCCTGCCGGAAGTGGGACGAGGAGAAGTCGAGTGGTTGCTGCCGTCGGGGGCTTGCCGGGCGTGGTCGATGAGGGCTGGAGTCTAATGGTTACTCAAAATTTCCGAGGTGCACAGGTGGATATGATCCCCGGTTTTTCGAGAAGAAGCTAGACTGCGCACGGAGGTATGTTTCTAGCGCAGGTGGACACGTGTCTTGGATGCCAGTTTAGGAGGACCTTAGCCATCACCTTACAAGGGCTTCACCCTTCCACCTGGCTCGCTTTAAAAGGCATTTTCAGACAGACGGACAGAATGCCTAGATTTTAGTCTGGTACAGGTTCCGCCACTGAGTTGCTGTGTGTCCTTGGGCCCATCTCAGAGCCTCGATTTTTTTTCATGTGTACTTTTTTTTATTGAGTTGGAGTCTCACTGTCTTCCAGGCTGGAGTGCACGCTCACGGCCACCGCAGCCTCGACCTGCTGGGCTCAGGAGATCCTTCCGCCTCAGCCTTCCAAGTAGCTAGAACTACAGGCGCGCACCACCACGCCCGGCTAATTTTTTGGATATATTGTAGAGAGGAGGTCTCACCAAGTTGCCTAGCCTGTCTCAAACTCCTGGACTCAGGCAATCCTCTCGCCTCAGCCTCCCACAGTGCTGGGATTACAGGTTTGAGCCACCATGCCCAGCCTGATTTCTTCATCTATAAAATGAAGGGTATTCAAGGTCCCTTCAGTTACTTTTCAGGTCTTCTGAATGTTACTGCCTGTTATATCATTTGAGTCATATAGCCTCGGGGGTTAAAATTGTTGGCCACATTTTAGTTTTGTTTTGTTTTTTTTTGAGTTGGAGTCTCACTCTGTCGCCCAGACTGGAGTGCAGTGGCCGCTCCCGGCCACTGCAGCCTCGACCTGCTGGGCTCCAGTGATCCTTCCACCTCAGTCTTCTAAGTAGCTGGAACTACAGGCGCGCACTACCACGCCCGGCTAATTTTTTGATTTGTTGTAGAGATGAGGTCTCACCTGCCCAGGCGGGTCCCGAACCCGCGGGCTCAGGCAATTCACTCACCTCAGCCTCCCAAAGGCGCGGGATTACAGACTGAGCCACCGAGCCCGGCTTGTTGGCCACATTTTATAAGGAAAAGATTGAAACCCCGGATGACAACTCAAGATTGCACGGGTTGCTTTTGGAGGTTTTAGAATTTGAGATTAGAAGGTTATGGTGAAACTCCATGACCAGATTTCCTTTTTTACATTTCTGTATCATCTGTTCCTGGAACTGGCCTTATAAGCATATACTCAAACTGTTTTGAATGAATGAATGAATCTTAATTTCCTGGCTAATGCTATGCAGATCTGATGTCTCTCCACCACCCTGATCTATAAACAAGTTTAACTTTTCCAGGTATATCCTGTACCTTGCTTGATTGGGGGCTCTGAGTCCAGTTCTGTTGTCTTCAGCTTAAGCACCATGGAGGCACCTCCAGTCACCATGATGCCTGTCACGGGGGGCACCATTAACATGATGGAGTACCTGTTGCAGGGTAAGTGAACCAGAGAGTTTGGATTTTCTGTTCAGCCTCCCTGAGGTCATGAGAGACTGTTACACAAAGGCAACCTGCATGTTTTCTGGCACCCACTTGACTATTTAAACAAATTTTTAATTTATTTTAAATTACGGTGTGGTTTTTGTTTTGTTTTGGTTTATTTATTTATTTATTTATTTATTTTGAGTTGGAGTCTCACTCCGGTGGTTCTTTTATTTATTTATTTATTTATTTATTTTGAGTTGGAGTCTCACTCCGGTGCCTAGGCTGGAGTGCAGTAGCACACTCACGGCCACCCCAGTGTCGATCTGCTGGTCTCCAGCTATCCTTCTACCTCAGCCTTTCAAGTAGCTGGAACTACAGGCACACGCTACCATGCCCAGCTAATTTTTCAGTTTATTGTAGAGATGAGGTCTCACCATGTTGTCGAGGTTGGTCTCAAACCCATTGGCTCCGGCAGTCCTCTCACCTTGTCCTCCCAAACTGCTGGGATTATAGGCATGAGCCACTGTTCCCAGCCTTGTTTGGGGTTTTAAAAGACAGAGTCTCACTCTGTCGACCAGGCTAGAGTCCAGTGGTGTGATCATAGCACACTGTAGCCTTGAATTCCTGGGCTCAAGCAATCTTCCTGCCTTAGCCTCTCAAGTAGCTGGGATTATAGGCGGGAGCCACCGCCCCAGATAAATTATGGTTTTATGTACGTTGATCACATTAAATATGCCCTCTTAATCATTTTTTTAAAAAAATCAGAGTCTCTCTCTGTCTCCCAGGCTGGAGTGTAGTGGCACGCTCACAGCTGCCGCAGCCATGCCCTACTGAGCTCAGGTGATCCTATCACCTCAGCCTTCCAAGTAGCTGGAACCACAGACATGCTCCTCAAGCCCAGCTAATTTTTCTTGATTTATTGTGGAGATGAGGTCTCAACAAGTTGCCCAGGCTGGATTTGAACCCCTCTTGCCTTGGATTTGAACCCCAAGTTGCCCAGGCTGGATTTGAGCCCCTCTTGCCTTGGCCTCTCAAATTGCTGGGATAATAGGCTTGAGCCACTGCACCTGGCCTACTACTCTTAATCTTTTCCTTTTTTTTTGAGTTGGAGTCTCTGTTGCCTGGGCTAGAGTGCAGTGGCACGCTCATGGCCACCACAGTCTCGACCTGCTGGTCTCAGGCAATCCTTCCATTTCGGCCTTACAAGTAGCTGGAACTACAGGTGCGTGCTACCTCGCCCAGCTAATTTTTTTGATTTATTGTAGAGAAGAGGTCTTGCCCAGTTGCCCAGTCTGGTAATGGACCCCTGAGCTCAGGCAATCCTCTCACCTCGGCTTCCCAAAGTGCTAGGATTACAGGTTTGAGCTACCACGCCCAGCTTTCTTAATCATTTTTAAGTGTACAGTTCAGTAGTGTTAAGTATATTCATGTTGTGTAACAACTCTCTAGAACTTTATTATTTTGCAAAACTGAAATCTATTCCCCTTAAACACAAATTCTTCCTTCCACCCTCAGTTTTTAGCAACTACCTTTCTACTTTTTGTTTTTGATTTTAACTACTTTGTACATCTCATATGAGTGGAATTGTACACTATTTGCTCTTTTCTGACTGGTTTGCCTAACTTAGCTTAATGTCCTTAAAGTTCTTTCATGTTATATCATATGATAGAATCTCCTTCTTTGTACTTTTTTTTTTTTTTTTTTTTGGGTTGGAGT